TTTGCCAAAACATTGAATTAAGAAAGGCTTTTGCAAATATACCCCTTTATTTGGTAAATAAAACTTTTTTTGACCGTGAGTACGAATTAATATGTTCACCAACTGACTTGTCAGAAGATCGATATATCATACACTAATAAAAAAAAATGGGTAAATTTAATAATTTACCCTTAAAAAAAATAGTCCTTTTTTGTCAAATGGGCTTCATATTTACAAAATATAATTAAAAAAATATAAAAATTGTGTCTACCTTTCCATCATCAGGAAGAGCAAGGGCAGTGGCCAAAAGAGAATAGCCTGTGTAAACCCCAATTTCCATTGTATTCTTTGCATTTATAAGCTTCAATAGTATGTTGAGGAACTGCCCCTCGTCAGCAGATGTCGTCATAATATTCCTTTTTTTTTTCAAAAATAATACACAATTTAATCAAAGAAATATATATATAAAGTTGAATACACAAATTATGATTCACTAGGCACTAACAATATCATTACTAGCATTTTTTTTTTTTTCAGAATAGATTAATTGATTAAAATTTTGGGAAACGCTGCTACGGGACCATTACGTCGGGTTTGTAATCGTTAGATTATCATATAACCGTCGTAGATAACTGAATTAACGGTTACAAATCCCGACAGAATGGTTTGGTAACGAAACCGTAGCATCTCCCTAAAATTTAAACTGACCATGGATGGTTGGCAGTGATTTCCCTTAGCTCCTTCATGGGCTCTGGCTCTCTTGGATAAACACTTGTCTCTAATATGTACTGTAAATTCAATATAAATCATGAGAGCCCAAAATTAAATTAAATTAAATTGAATTAAATTAAATTCAATATATATATATATTATAAAATAAAAAAATTAAATTAAATTATTGATTATTTTTTTTACCTGGTAAAGGGCATCACTCTGCAAAAGGCTCTTGTGCCCAACTTCTTGGTGCCTCCCAGCCTGGTTCTCCACACCATTTTGTGCCATATTTTTTTAAATTTAATTTAATTTAATTAATTTCTATTATATAAAAAAAATGAATTTAGGATTGTTATATTTGCTCCTGAAATTGGCTTGGGAATGAAGACGGATATATAGTTGAGACAAAACTGGTTCAGATCGGGTATTTTTGGGGTTGGTGGGTTAGTGGGCCGCTCACCGAACCGGTCCGGGGTTGGTGAGAAGTGCACAGTGAGTGGTTTCGTGGGGGCCCAATTAGTGGGAGGAACTGGACAAGATAGGTGAGGTAGGGCCCAATCATGAGGCTGATTCGTTGGGATGATTACGTGGCGGGAAAAAGGATATTGTTTTCTGTCTCGCGGTGTACGTAGTCCGTGCCGACGTGGTGGATGGCTGGATGCTGCTTGCTGGGGAAGGCCATTGGTGGGGCCCGTGGGGGAAAAGATCAATGGGAGGAGTCCACGTGTTCATGGTGCTCGTTGGGAGGACGGTGAGGGTTTGAGATGTTCTTGACTTTTTTTTGGTCATTATTTGGTGTACTAATCTACCTAATTTCTAAAAAAAAGTAACTTGTTTTATAAGAAATTTGGTGATAATTAAGTTGGTACAAAATATGTTTATTATTTGTTCATTGTAAGTAATGACTAAAAAAGGGTAAATTGCGCCAAACCCCCCTGTATTATACGAAATCTGCGCGTTATCCCCC